CTAGCCATTTTAACAGTAAAATGCTGAGGCTTTGCCGCAAATCTAGTACTGCACGTAAAATCAAAGAGCCTAGGTGACATAGCAGAAGGTTCCTCGGAACAATTACCATGGAAATATTTATAGAAAAAGGCACAACGAAGCTACTTTACATAAGTTGAGATGCTAGATCAGGGTCAATAACATTAGAGAGTCTTCTTTGGATTTTATCAAGAATCTCTAAATTATATAGCAGGAGAACCAAATCATATGTGGGAGAAATATTCAAAGCAAGGGCCTGAAGTAACTAATGGTCATCATTTAGGACCACGAAGCAGGGATTCTCAATAAATTTCCAGTAGCGAATAAACATATTTGTTTTTTTTTATAACCCCTATTAATGTTTTTGCTATGGGACCTTACCCATAATAACATAATGGACTATTCCATACGTAATAAATACTGCGCCTCAAGAGGAAGCAGAGAGTTCAGTCCGAAGTCGGGCGACCGGCTGATCGGCTGATCGGTTGAACTCTCTGCTTTCGGGCGGGGAGAAACCCGAACGAGGCTACGCCGAAAAACGAAGTCTCTTTCGGGGAGGTAAACCGACCCTGAACCCGTTTATACGCGTTCAAAGGGCATATTTTTGGCCGAGCCCACGGGCTCGGAGATCCCACGTTAAACCGGCCTTGTGCCACATGATGCCCTCGTGGGGGGGGTGACTAAATACCGTTCAGTCCGAAGTCGGGCGACCGGCTGATCGGTTGAACTCTCTGCCTTCGGGCAGGGAGGAACCCGAACGAGGCTACGCCGAAGGGCGGAGTCTCTTTCGGGGAGGTAAACCGACCCTGAATCCGTTTATACGGCTTCAAAGGGCATATTTTAGGCCGAGCCCACGGGCTCGGAGATCCCACGTTAAACATGATGCCCTCGTTGGGGGGTGGGTGACTAAATACTCTTCAGTCTGAAGTCTGGAGTGTGGTGCGTCAGAAGTCCGTCAGAACCTGATTCTTCGTACTAACACTTTCTTCTTCTCTGTATATATAATTGTTTGTAATATATCTGTGTTATTCCATACCTGTGTTCGAGTTCTTCTTTATTGGTTCTACCTTGGACTATAACCGTGGTACAAGGAACCGGACCATAACAGAAACAAAGAGTATTTTTACAAAAGCGAAGTGTGACGTGTTTTCTTTTATATAAATTTAAGGAGGCGGGCTTGTAATTTATAATTGTTTTTATTTATTGAGTGTTGTTTTTGTTGTATGCAAAACCAAAAAAACAACCATTAATAAATAAAAAAGAATCGTTTGTGTTTGTGCGTGTATGTGTGTGTGTGTGTGTGTGTGTGTGTATGCGTGTGTGTTAAAAAACGTACGCAACGTTTTAGAGGAAATTACGTTCATCCCTGAAGATACAATATGTCAGATTTTGTTGTACAAATCACTTTTAAAAATAAAATTAATATTGACCAACATAAGTGGGGTCAAATTTTCAGGCGATATGAGCAGTCTGTCAGTTATGTGCCATACGTGATACACGCTTAGGCGATCATATATCCTTCGATACATGACTGACGAGGTAGATTTTTCCCCCGCAGGAGGTTGCCATTTCTTTCTGCGGTAGACCAATTGCCATCCAAAGCTATAGAATCCTGTCTGTCCATAGAAGAAGATGATTCATACCTTAGTGGATGAAATGATTTCGCCTGGAATTCGAACTCGTCTCTCCCATTCCTCAATCCAAGCCGCTATCTATTACTCCACCGTGCAGTAGATATATATCATTATAATGTTATGCTTACTATACAAAGATTTTATTTAAATGTTATTTGTAAATAGCCCCCAATTAATGTTTCTCTTGTTAATATTATTTTTCCAATGAACCCTTGCAATTTGATATTGTTTAAGTACGTCGAAATATAATTAGATGCCGAAATTACTCATATCTGTTCATCAGCTCAAATGCAAACATATATATTAAGAAACCTTCAAGAATCATAATATGTATTGACATTTTTGGTTACTGTTGATTTTACAATCAAAGGAACCGATTAAAAATAGCATGAACGAAATGCAAATGTTTTATCTAACTCCAATATTTCCACTAATGGGTTTGAGTTCAAACTAATTTCCTTCAAGTAACCATAATGAAGCAACTAATTAATGTGCCAGCTTTCACCAACGTGATCGAATGCAGTTAAGGGTGTCCTAAGTTGTTGATTATTTCTTTTCTGAATGAATGAAAGTGAAGCTGTACGATGTCACGAGCGAGACGAGAATTCTATGAGCCTTGCTTATTTTTTTCTCGAGTGACTGATTTAGCAAGCAGGCGTGATTTGAAAAGTTTCAGAAACCGAGAGCAGTGACCGTAAAAAGAAGAGAGTGCAAAATTGCTTCACTGAAGTCGTACCATGGGTACAAAATAACTGGCAATCTTTAACCTTTGTACCCTAAAAAAAAAAAAGATGTGTCAAAAGGATAGTTTTTCCTTTGATACCGCTATTATTTTGTACTATTTTTACTCGATCGGCAATGTATATTTACAAGATGATAAAATACAATATAAATTGATATATGATAAATCTTTTTCAAAGATAAATAATAAATATCTCATTATATCTACTGCACGGTGGAGTAATAAATAGCGGCTTGGATTGAGGAATGGGAGAGACGAGTTCGAATTCCAGGCGAAATCATTTCATCCACTAAGGTATGAATCATCTTCTTCTATGGACAGACAGGATTCTATAGCTTTGGATGGCAATTGGTCTACCGCAGAAAGAAATGGCAACCTCCTGCGGGGGAAAAATCTACCTCGTCAGTCATGTATCGAAGGATATATGATCGCCTAAGCGTGTATCACGTATGGCACATAACTGACAGACTGCTCATATCGCCTGAAAATTTGACCCCCCTTATGTTGGTCAATATTAATTTTATTTTTAAAAGTGATTTGTACAATAAAATCTGACATATTGTATCTTCAGGGATGAACGTAATTTCCTCTAAAACGTTGCGTACGTTTTTTAACACACACGCATACACACACACACACACACACACACACATACACGCACAAACACAAACGATTCTTTTTTATTTATTAATGGTTGTTTTTTTGGTTTTGCATACAACAAAAACAACACTCAATAAATAAAAACAATTATAAATTACAAGCCCGCCTCCTTAAATTTATATAAAAGAAAACACGTCACACTTCGCTTTTGTAAAAATACTCTTTGTTTCTGTTATGGTCCGGTTCCTTGTACCACGGTTATAGTCCAAGGTAGAACCAATAAAGAAGAACTCGAACACAGGTATGGAATAACACAGATATATTACAAACAATTATATATACAGAGAAGAAGAAAGTGTTAGTACGAAGAATCAGGTTCTGACGGACTTCTGACGCACCACACTCCAGACTTCAGACTGAAGAGTATTTAGTCACCCACCCCCCAACGAGGGCATCATGTTTAACGTGGGATCTCCGAGCCCGTGGACTCGTCCAAAAATATGCCCTTTGAAGCCGTATAAACGGATTCAGGGTCGGTTTACCTCCCCGAAAGAGACTCCGCCCTTCGGCGTAGCCTCGTTCGGGTTCCTCCCCGCCCGAAGGCAGAGAGTTCAACCGATCAGCCGGTCGCCCGACTTCGGACTGAACGGTATTTAGTCCCCCCCCGCCACGAGGGCATCATGTGGCACCAGGCCGGTTTAACGTGGGATCTCCGAGCCCGTGGGATCTCCGTGCTCGTGGGCTCGGCCAAAAATATGCCCTTTGAACCCGTATAAATGGGTTTAGGGTCGGTTCATCTCCCCGAAAGAGACTCCGCCCTTCGGCATAGCCTCGTTCAGGTTCCTTCCCGCCAGAAGGCAGAGAGTTCAACCGATCAGTCTGTAAGCCGGTCGCCCGACTTCGGACTGAACAATATTCAGTCACCCTCCCACGAGGGCGTCATGTGGCACAAGGCCTTTTTAACGTGGGATCTCCGAGCCCGTGGGCTCGGCCAAAAATATGTCCATTGAACCCGTATAAACGGGTTCAGGGTCGGTTTACCTCCCCGAAAGAGAATCCGCCCTTTGGCGTAGCCTCGTTCAGGTTCCTACCCGCCCGAAGGCAGAAAGTTCAACCGATCAGCCGATCAGCGGACGTCCGACTTCCTGCTTCCTCTTGATCCGCAGTATTTATTACGTATGGAATAGTCCATTATGTTATTATGGGTAACGTCCCATAACAGTTTCTTACACAATAAACATTAGTTCTACGAAAGTTCAAATTGTCTCTACGTACATTGATTGATGACTTAAGAAATTTGAAAGCTTGGACCATATTTCTTGTAATTTTCTTCCGAAATTAACTTCGGACAATTTCTGACCGATTTTCCTCTTTTTCTGAGAAGGATTATTCATAATTTGGAAAAGTCGATCATTAAAATTAATCGACATAAAATATCTGTCATTTTTAATAGCATTTGCCTTAAAGAACTTTTGCTGCCTATATACAAAAATACATACATACATACAGACACACATATAGAAGGCATGAGAGGCAGAAATTTAGTTAAGTAGAAAGACGTTGTCTTTTACTTTTCTCAAATATTTCTGTAAAATATCTTTGAACATAGAAATGATTGGGCAATACTATAGACCGAGAAAAAATGGCATCTTAAAGGTACTACATTAACTTTTGGGAAAAAAACAATAACTTTACCGCTTAGTCGATGCCGTTTCCTTTTAAGTCAACCACATCATAATGTATTCAGCAATACCCGAAAGACTATTGCTAAAAAAAGGTTGCCGCAAAAGTTCATACTTCACTTCAATAGCTACTGCCTATTAAATTCTCCTAACTTTTGGATAGGATCTGTAATACGTATTTATTCAATTATCAGAGTGAAAGAAGACAAGCTAGTAGTAATAAAGTTATTGAAATATAAAGATGGGAATATACAGGAATAAATATAGAGATAAATATAGGGATTGGAAAGTACTGAGAGTGATATAATAGAAAAGATAAATCGATCAACAGATAGATAGGGACATAATGAGGTTGATAGGAATATAAGAATATATCTGGATAGATAGATAAATAGATAGATAGGAACGTACTGAGATAGAAATATAAGAATACATCTGAAAAGATAGATAGATATGAACAGACTTTGTAAGATATAAATATGACAGAAGATAGGTATATATATATATATATATATATATATATATATATATATATATATATATATATATATATATATATATATATATATATATATATATATATATATATATATATATATATATAGAGAGAGAGAGAGAGAGAGAGAGATATGAATATACTGAGTGTAATAGAGAGGAATATCAGAATACACGTGAAAAGATATATATATATATATATATATATATATATATATATATATATATATATATATAAGAGGGACAGATAAATAGATAGAAACATAAATAGATAGATAGATAAATAGATAGATAGATAGATAGATAGATAGATAGATAGATAGATAGATAGGAACAGACTGTGACTGTAAGATAAGAATATGCCTGAAGTGTTAGATAGGAACATTCTGAGTTTGATAGATAGGAATATAAGGATACAACTGAAAAGATAGATAGATAGATAGATAGATATGAACAGACTGTGACTTTAAGATCGGAATGTAAGAATATGCGTAAAGAGATAAATAGGAACATACTAAGGTTGATAGTAATATAATACACCTGAAAAAATAGCTAACTCTATAGATAGATGGGTGGATGGATTCAGGTATGTTGAATAGGGAAATAATAAAGTTATTGCTCATAATCGAAAAAACCCGTGTATACAGCGTCCTTTGTTAAATGAGACCGTTGAAAAAAAAAAAAGAGGTGTGAAAAGCTGGCGAAGGGTTCAATTGCCGCTTCTCGTCGTCCGTGTCGCCGCGTGGAGAAATACAATAGGAGGCGTGCGAATTGCGACACTGGCGACATAAAATCTCTTATGTAAGTTGTGAGATCTGAAAAGAAAACATAGTAAATGTCGACACGAAAATGTTGTCGTGTGATTAAGTGCAGGTGGATTTCTGTAAGTAGACAACTGCGTGTCATAATGTACGCGTGTGTCCTAGTACGTGTGGGTGGGAATGCACGGACATATCTATGTGTGTCTATATGATTTTGTGATCGGAGGAGAAGAAGCAAAATTGTTGGTGCATTTACTCATATGTATATACGCGTGTGTGTCGGTGTTAGTTCTCATAAACTGCACTTCTTACCTCCTACTATTACCGCACCATGCAACAACCTCCTCAGTAACTCTCTACCTTGGGTGGCTGTTGTGCCTTGTATTGAGTGGACTATTTCGATGTACAGATATATATTTACGCGTATAAATGACTATATGTATATATCTTATGGCTTTGTCCTTTGCCCTTTACATGACTTTTTTTTTACTTCTAAATAGATTCGTATGGTGGAGTAATACATAGGGTCTCGGACTGAGGAATCGGGAGAGCCGAGTTCGAATTCCAGCCGAATTCATTACATTCGCTTACATCGTAATACTCTTGGGAAAGTTATGAATCCTCTTCTTCTCGCCCTCTCTACCAAGCAAGGGTAAATAGCAGGACAATGGCAACCTACTGCGGGAAAAATGCCTTGTCAGTCATGTATCGAAAGATACATGATCGCCTAAGCGTGTATCACGCATGGCACATAACTCACTGACATGTATCCCTGTTAGTAGATGAATAAATACAAATAAAAAGACACACATACGCACATATATATATATATATATATATATATATATATATATATATATATATATATATGTAAATTTATATAGGTAGTGAAACCGGAAAAGTCCTTAGAAAATATCATGTTTGGTCATATTTTGGGATTGATTGAAATTTTTTTCGGTTTATCAACCCTTTATCGGTTAATTAAAGCCGAAACATATTTTAGATTATAAGAATAATTCAGTTTTTGCGAGTTAATTTTGCATTAACAATTAAAAAAATAACAACGATTTTTTTTCAACTACAAGTCCTAATATTTAACCCATAGCTGGGGGAAGATGTGAAGGATTCATATCTTTCTTAAGGTTAATTTTTGCAGAAGTGAATGTAACAAAATCGACTAGGATTAAAAAAAATGTTCTCCGATTTCTCATCCCAAACCTCTATCTATTACACCGTAAGCATATCGGAAGAAAGTCGGACCGAGAACTTTTCATCACTCTTTCATACATGTGTATTTTTATGTTCTTAGGTGTTATCTCGATCTGCATGTGTGCAGGTTGATTTGTAGGTTTGAAGATTTCAATTTTTCTTGGAGTTCTACATGGAACATAGAATAAACTGTGCCGGAGATATTTTCGCCCAACACCGTAAATTGCTACGAAATAAAATCCTCGTCAGATCGAAACTTTCATATGGATGTCATGCATAGCACCAAATCCGTTCAGAAATATCTCAACAGTCCTCTGTATAGAACTGTTTCATAAGATCAATGATGCAAAACAGCTTTGCGCCAGTAAAGTATGACAGTCTTAGCAAAGATCATCCTTATTTGAACCTTTTAGGCTGGCGCTGCAGAATCACAAAGGACTGCACGAAATAGCAGAAACTTCATCACTTGAGGAGTACCAACAGCAGCAACATTGATGAGAGCTCTTGTACTACGCTTAAATTCATAAAGTCTATGTACCATAATGAAGAGCTCATCTGAACAATTACCATGAAACTATTTATGAAAAAGGCCCACAGAGGCAACTTTACGGTGGTGGGAAAGTTACTGAAATCGAGACACCAGGTTAGGACCAATAATATTGCTGATTTTTCTTTGGATTTTATCAAGAATCTCTAAATATATAACAAGAACACAGGGCCATTATTCTAAGCATGAACGAATGGTAGACTTATAGATATGTAAGATAGATTGTAGAGAGAAAAATTGTCTAGCACGACGCAGGGAACCTACTATCTTAGCAGCTGACCAAGCAATGGGTATATTAAATATAGTCATTTCAATTCATGTCAGCCGACAATTTTAGCCAGAGAAGGCGCAACGAGTCACTCTCCTGGAGGTTAGCATCAGCCATGAAGATGAATAGTAGAAAAGGGGCTCTCAGACGTTTAATAGAGAGCAGTTTTGTTTTGGAAACATTAAAATTAACAAGCCATTTTGCTCCAGCGAACAACAGACTGAAGGTCGACTGAAGGTCGTCTTTGACAAGCAATCCACCGAAATTAAGTCGATAATGTCCTGGCCAGAAGTTTCCATGAAAATAAGTGTGAAGAGGTTACAACTCTTGCAAACCTAAAATTAAGAATATATCTAGGTTTTTATCTAGGCATGATATAAAACCATAGTCAACCACATTTGGTTACAATAAGTTGATTTACATTTTACATAGTTCTGATCCACTGTAAAATGTTATATGTGTGTGTGTGTGTGTGTGTGTAATGTTTCTCTGTGTATGTTTATGCAACGTATTTACGTCTTTGTTTACTAAGCTACTATGCATGTGTTTGTGTGTGCGTGTGTAGTAGGCATTATTTACGTTTGGAGGTTTTCTGAATTGAACCGTTTATACGGAATTTGGAACGTTTATACGGCAACACAGATCGTCGTAGTGGTAGTTAAATAATACGTTTGTTGCGGCGTTAACCTTGCCAGGTCAACCGGGTTCGTCAACCGAACCCGCCGAACGAAAGCTGACCAAGCGTAGCAGAAGTCGTATTCATTCGGACTGGCAAATCCCTAGTCGGAGATTCAGTATGAATTTAGATTCACAGGCGGTCTCCAGTCGAATCTATACATACTTTTAGGACAGTGCGATCCGTTTTGAATTCAGCGTTTCCTTCGCCTGGACTGGTTGCCGCCCAAGGCTGTAGGACACAATCTGTCCTGCTATTTAACACATAGTTGGGGGGAGGGAGAAGGGTTGGTTTCAAACCTTTCCTAAATGTATTAGCATGTAAGTGAATCTCTGATTCCTCAGTCCGAGCTGCTAACCATTGAGGAATCGGGGAGTAGACTTCGTGTTCCAGTCACATGCTGAATTGTTGGGCCCTCATATGTCGAAATAGATGGGAGTATCTATTGTATATATATATATATATATATATATATATATATATATATATATATATATATATATAGTAGATATTCCCATCGATAATTTCACTGTAATCAGTTCTTCCACTATAATGAAGTGGTGTTCTACGGATGATTTAGCGGTTCATTTCGAACTGAATGTTGGGCCTTCGTATGTCGAAATCAGTGGGTATATCTAATATATATATATATATATATATATATATATATATATATATATATATATATATATATATATATGTGTGTGTGTGTGTGTGTGTTTTTATATATATATATTTTATGTGCGGTGCTTATTGGAAAGTGCTCAATATTAGTGATAGTGTTAGCATACATGCTTGTCTGAGGATCGCAAAAGCGTGAAACCTAGAGTTATAGACTCACATCCATACAACTAATTATATATATATATATATATATATATATATATATATGTAGTAGATACTCCCATCGATTTTGACATATTAGGGACGAACAGTTTAATTTTGAAATGAACCGATAAATTATCGGCAGAAATAATTTGATTATGGTGGTGAAATGGTGCCTAGTGTGTCACGAAATGTCTAGATACCCCATTCTTTTTTCTCCGAGACTGCTTACTAACCCAAAGTAAAATGGCGATCCCTCCAGCTATTTAACCCATAGCTGTAAGAATATCGATTCATACAGCCTTAACTCACTCTGGTGATTTTAATTTCCGCGCCGATATCGGTTCGGTCCATCCGCACGTCCATAATACATTCGTGCGTCTCTTTCTTTGTTTTTTTTCCCATTCACTTGCGTATGTCTGCTCTCATATCTACGTCCATTAACACGCATATAAGCATTTTCATATACACATCTACGGGTTCTTTGAATTAGAGCGACAGATTGTAATGTCATTTGAAATTGCCTTTGCAACTGCATAAAACTTGCTTTGCCACGTGCGCCGAACTATAAGTTCTTTGTAATTTTATGTGTGAGAATGTTCGTACCGGTTCGGTATTAAAACCCTGTCACAGTTGGTTCTATTGGCGCATGAGATGAACATGTGTCGCTTTATTAAAAAAGAAACGAGAGAAAGCGCATTCAAAGGAACCGAATTATTCTTATTTTTTATTAATAGTATTTAGAGGATCGCCGGAGCTTTGAGAGTGGTGAAAAAAGCATTAAACTACCACCGTGCATATCGAAAGCTATATGGGTCATAAGCACATTAATTCGAAGTAGTTATGCAGAAATGTAAAAATGTGTTAATAGACTTGTATCAAGGTGTATATCCGCGCGCCCACGTCACAATATAATGTGAAACATGGATGAAAATTGCTCAAGCCCTATCGGTACTTCCCCATTTACAGATGCGTCAATCCCCTACCGAAAGAGACGCACTGCTTGGGAAGATGCCCCCCGCCACAACGGGGTTCGAGTTAACATTATTTTCAATTTTCCAGACTATAGCCGGAATATCAATGAAAGAAAATAAAATTGAATGATACTATGAAGACATTAGATGTAGCTAGTCACGTCATAAAGTAGCATTTCCTTTAAGGCTTATTAAAATAATTATATATTAAAATTAGAAAAGTATGGTTTAGGATAATTTTTTAACGATTATTACCTTCATCTTATTTCAATTACGCATTTATAACAAGTACCAATCTATCATTCTAAATTGTTAAATTAATTCATTTAACGATGTAACAACCTTTGGTATATTGATTTTCCAAGGGTATGAGGCAGCCAGGGAGGATCGAACTCATTACTCACTAGTAATTGCCCTAGCAAGACAAGCTTGCTAACCATTACACCGCGTCGAGATACCCCCCCAACCTTCGGTATATTGTCGAATATAAATGTTATAGTGCAAAGATAACGATGAATTAAGTGGGCATCCATTTATCTCTTGAGATGAAGGTAGCGCTATGATTGCTCAAAATTCAGTCTTTTTGTGGTGAGACTAGGGTGACCTCTCCAGGACGCAGGCCTGGGCGATGGTACATGGAAGTCTTGAGCTGCCCAGGCCCGATGAAACAGCTTTCGGCAATACCGACAAGATCCAAAGGAATACAGGACATTAAATTTGGGGCCGCCTTGGCTGCAGGTGTTGTTAGTAAGTTGTCAGTGTTTGCAGCCAGTAAATTTCGGGGTTGCACTTTTCTGTCTGAATTTACTTTCATAGATTTTTCCGTGTTTGGCTGAGACCACAAGGCAGCAGGGACTTAAAATCCGCGTTTTCTTTCCCTAGATGGAATCCCTTCCTGGACTGCCTAGCTTCATTTACTCAAATATATATCATACATCAACATCTTTTCTGTATGACGGGTTCATTCAGGATATTGGTGATCATGGCTCTCCACTATTTCCTGTCCTTTGTAGCTCTTACAAAATTTTGCTTTTTTGTCATCCCACCTAAATCTTGTTTCGTCATTCATTTACTCAAGTTCGCTATGTAAGTTATGCATTGTTTTCCTTAGTCCTTCTTGTCTTAAGTCTGTCCTGTTAGTATCAGATTTTCCAAGATTTTCTTCCTTTTTTATATATATTGGAAATTTCAACTATCTTCCGGATTAATATAAGTTTCTTTTTTGTTTCTATTTTCTCTAAAATTTCTCGTTGCTCACATGTTTGCTCCGTGGTATTCTCAGCATCCTTCTGTAGAACCATATTTCTGTTGCTTTTTTCTTTTGTGGAGAAATTGTCCAGCATTCACAGCCATATAAGTGGACTGACAGTACATAACATTTCATTACTCTTTTCTTCGTTTCTTACGGCATTTTTTCTGTTTCTTAATACTTTGCTTAGCTTTTGGAAGGGATCATTCGCTATGCCATTGCGACTTCGGATTTCAGTGTCACACTTTCCATCCTCTGTTGCAACATTTCTCTTTTCCATCCTTTGTTACAACATTTAAATTGTTGAACTTGTTAGTCTGTCAAATTTGTAATTTGCATGTTGGGCTTTTTTCCTTAACAGCTATGGATTCTGTCTTCTTGCAATTGATGTTTAGTCTTTTCTTCTCCCTTTACTTCCCTACCTTTCTGTGTCCGCTATTAACACGGCATCATCTGCATTTCTTATGTTGTTAAGATTGTGCCCGGCAATAATAAGTCCGGTTAGGACATCTTATTATCTCAGAATCGCCTCACTCTAGCTTGAAAAATGTCCGTGTTTTACACCACTGTCTATATTTACTGAATTTTCTATGCGCATACAGGCGGTTTGCTGTCAGTATAAGTTCTTAATTATGCTAATAATCTCTCCAATTATGTTAAAGTTACTTCGAAGATACAACAGATCTTTGTGACTTACTTTATCAACCGATTTTACAGAATCTGTAAAAGACGGGTACACATCTTTCTGTAATTATAATGGTATTTCGTATAAAATTGAGCATAAATATGGCATTTCTTGTTTCAGTATCTTCAACGAACACACACCGTTCTTCGCCTATTTCCGGTCTAATTCTACGACACACTCTATCAGATTTCGGATGATGTTTTTTTTTATATGGCGCATGAGGCTCTTTATCTGATGGAGAATGCATCCTTGGCTATCCCAATAGTCTACGGATCTCAGCGTCGCACTAAACCGTCCTCTGTCAAGGAGCATTCTCAGATATTTAAACTTCCGCGTCTGATTGATTCTAGTGTTCCCGACCTGCAAATCGCATTTCGGGCTGGTCCTCTTACTGATGCCCATGCATTTTGTCTTCTTGTAGTTTATGCTTAGTCCTTTCTTGTCACTCTCTGTCGCCTTTTCCTTTTCATTAGGTGTATTCAGGAGACTGTCGTATTGCAATTCGGGTGCTCCATTGGCCTTCTACAGTTTAAGTTGTTTCATTCTAACTTTACACATCACTGGTCGATTTTCGCTTCCACATCGACACTTGAGTATGTTTTGAACTGTGAAAATGCACTCCTGAATCTCGTATTGATAGTTACATAGTCGATTTGGTTTTTCTTTCTCCTCCTGAGATTCTCCATGTCCAGATACGTCTTGGGTAGTCTTGAATCCTGGTGTTGGCTACTAACTGATCATTTGCCGGGCACCATTTGCTCCGTGTTCATTACGACTTCCTAGTCCAAATTCTTATATCTGAACAGTACCAAATAAGAACAAAACTAGTTATCTCTTGACATAGCTGGAATTTGCACACTGCTAAACTTTACTTTCAATTCCTGCGACGAGAAACACTTATCCGTTCATCCTCATGGGCCACTTAAAATGGTTTTGGTCTGAAAGTTGCTTCCTTTCAGAATCGAAGCATAACCAGCCAATATATCTCGACGGGGATTTACGATAATCGTTTCTCACATTAATATTATTATTTCGTTGCTTAGTATCAACGTTGTGTTCTGCTAATACGTCATAAATGATGGAATATTGTGTTTTGATCGTGTGGAAAGATAGAACAGACACACCAGAGACGCGGGTTGCTTTCAGTGAAAAAGAAAAAGAAAAAGAAATAAAGCGAGAACGAAAAAAGAGAGAGAGAGAGAGAGAGAGAGAGAGAGAGAGGGAGAGAGAGAGAGGAGGAGAGAGAGAGGAGAGAGAGAGGGGAGGAGAAAGAGAGAGAGAGAGAGAGAGAGAGAGAGAGAGAGAGAGAGAGAGAGAGAGAGAGAGAGAGAGAGAGAGAAAGAAATTAAGAGCTAAAGAGTTAGATCGAGGAGACGATACCGATCTCATAAGTCTAACGTCTGCTTGAATGAAATGGAAAACTTATCATTGTTATATCATTTATTTGCACCCTCTTATTTCTTTAAATAATGACTTGCATTCATTTTTATGATTTTATTGCAATATTGTCTTTTTTTGTCAAATATTTAAAGATGCAATAAGGGAATTTCCGCGGGTATTTTTTTTTTAGTCATGGAACTCGAAATTTATTTATTCGTTAAATATTATAATACATTAGAAAAGTCAAATAGGAAATTTTCACGGGTACTACTAATTATTATTATTAATATTATTATTAATAATATTATTATTACTTGCGGTTCTTTTGTTGTTTACTTTATTGCAATATCATTAATAATGAAGGTGGTGCCGGCAGGAGCCAGCGAAATGCTAAATTGTATAAGTAAAAAAGGCGGGCGTAAGCGCTGTTTGTTTTATTTGCTTAACCAAGCCAAAGAATTGTTAGTGACTAGCTTCGCTGACGACAGTTCTCTGTTCGGCCACCTAATAGCTGGCGCCGGCGTCATATCTTACATTTACCTATCCAGCCAGTCCACACCCGTCACATGTACCCAGCACCAGACTTTACAGGTCAACCGGTGCAACTATCCACCCGAATGCTTGCATAACAACCGCCCCCAAATTGTCGATTGTCGCGGGTTATTAAAACGCATCGAAGTTCGTACTGGTTCACACACTTTATTTTTTTTCTTTGGCGTTATTGTTATTACTATTAAAAGTGATTTCATCATAAACGCTTATTTTGATAATATCAATATTATTAGTAAAGTTATTTTTTTTATTATTGCCAGCATTCACTTACACTATTGTTGCTTAAAGGTGAAGTGAATATCATTTTAAAGACCTTTTAGTCTCTTTAAGTCAAGGTTTCCTTCGTGCTAATAATAATAATGATTTTATGAACAGGAGAGCGATTAGAAAAAAACTGAAGTCGAGAATAAATAAGCAAGTTCATCGTTTGAATTTGGATCTGAAATTTCATAGTATAATGTTCAATCAATAAAATCAGTAGAGAAATACTGACCAGTTTAAAGAACTGTTAGAACTGATCGCAACCTGGACATATTTGGGAAAGATATTAGAATAATCAACCTATACTAGTAGCAAGCTACTTACGGATAGAAAATGACTTCAGCAGATATACAAAAATAGAAAGGGTGTAAGACAAGGATGTGACTTCTCAGTGGTCTTATTCAAACTATACAGCAAAGCAATTCAGTGAGAATTAGAAGTCCCACCACGATTCATTATTGGCGGTCACAATCTTAACAACATAAGATATTCAGACGACACAGTATTGACAGCAGACACTGTAAGAAATCTAAAATAAGCTCCAACAGAAGGTAGTGAAGGAAAGCGTGAACAAAGGATAATCATAAATTGAAAGAAGACATAATGAATGGTTGTTAGGAAATCGATGAGCCTGGAATGCAAATCACAAATAGGCGATACCAAAATCAAACAAATACAAAAGATTCAAATATCTGGGAATAGTTTTAGCAGAGGACGGCCCTCAAGAGTTCCGTCTACCCAGCTTGGGTCAACCCGTGGTTTGGTCTTTAGGCACTTTCCAAAGTTGCCGCACGCTGGGATCAACCTTGATCCATTCCGATAACATCTGGAAGTCCCCTTCTTAACAAATCGACCATGGTGAGATTCGAACCTGGGTCTCATGGACAGAGATATAATATATGCCTTCCCGTTATCGAGCATAGTCATCATACAACATACCGCAAAGATTTACCGGTGCCACGCGAAGAGAAGACTTTTAAACCAGGCCAATCACAACATCAGGCATGTTTCTGACATTTGACAGTTCCAGCGCCCTTATTGTTAGTGTCTATAATACTGTTAGGATTCATCATAATATTTCTGCCTTTTAATGCTACGGTCATATAATCATATAATATACCACCCAGCAATATCTCCCAAAACATCGTGCAATGCCTCTGTATTATATTATATAGTGAAGAAAGACGGCGAACAGCGTCGGTCCCACTCTCCGAGCAACACAACCAATGAAGAGGACATAAACATAATCGTTTGTTACTAAGTCACAGGTGTTACATCAGAGTTGTTTTTTATATCCTAGGGAGATACCTGAACAAGAGCTAAGGAGTCTCTCTTTTGCTATATTGCTTATAGATGGCGTTGGGGTATCGATATATATATATATAGATTGCATCTTTATGTCACGGAATTACCGATAGCTATCATGTCTATTAAGTTTTCGATAAGTAAGAACACACCTACATTTACTTGAATATGTATGAGTCCTTAAGCGGTGAATCCATGCTTCTCGAAACCTCATATTTCGCGAACAGAGGCTTTGCTGCCAGGTGAAGTTTATCGTCATACCCTGGACAAATATGTATACACACACACACACACACACACACACACACATATATATATATATATATATATATATATATATATATATATATATATATATATATATATATATATATATATATATATATATATAATGGCGTATTGATACAAGTTTCGTGATCAGAATGATCGATCGAGAAAAAAAAAAACCGTCGAAGATATCTGTTTATAGTGATTTTCTAAGCTGGGTTTAGAAGTGGCACAAGGCCGAAAGTATGGGGCACCCAGCGAGGATCGAACTCACTACTCAGTCGTAATTGATCTTGCAAGACAAGCTTTCTAACCATTACATCATGTCGAGGTGCCCTAGATATCTGTTTATAAACGGTAATTCGCTTCTCTGTGACTGAATGTTAACAGCATGTCAGTTCCCATAAGGGTTACAGTTTCGATTCCTGTCGAAGGACGCATATTTTCTACGAAACTTCTTAAATATTCATGCTGGTAAATGTAATTAATACAGTTTAATTAAAAACATATCATTAACTTAAATAAAATATATCTATAAAAAATAAAGTACAAACAGAATATATATATATATATATATATATATATATATATATATATATATATAAATATATATAGGAACGCATAGAACAAATCGGTACCCGAGGAAAAATGGACCCGAGGAAAAATAAAAAAAAAGAATCAAGAACATTAAATCAAGGCGAATAAAATCGTCCAGTGTTCAAGCTCCAAGTTCAAAAAAAAAAACCTGAATATATATATATATATATATATATATATATATATATATATATATTGTTTGTTTCAATGAGTATAGGAATGTCTGCAAGAACATCCCTCCCCAGATGTCCTCTTCTTTTTCTCTTGTCATTGTTTAATATAAACTTTGTAACACACACACACACACACACACACACACACATATATATATATATATATATATAGTCAGTAAATAGTGAGTAAAGAAATAGTAGTAAGTACATAAATAAAAAGTTCAGACACCCGATTCCGAATTTCGCAGAAATAACTCCATTTTATTTTTCGAAGATAAATCAATTATATCATACTTACATACATACATAATTACATAATTATTGAAATATTATTCATTAATCATATCTTGTTTAAATGACGCTACATAAATAATCCATTATACGAATACTTGCGCAAATCTTGTTCAACAAGTTGTTCCTGAAGCACTTTGGTTGAAACCTAATTGATGTCCTGCTTCAGGTATTTCTATCACAGCGTCAGGGACACGTACGGCTTAGAATTCAAAGTTGTCCTTCTCCCAGACTGACTGACAACCACAGCTTGGGATCCAAGTCTTCCTTGCTATTTAATCCATGTCTCGGAGGAGGAGAAGAGATGGAGTCATACATTTCCCAAGGCTAAAAAGCGCTTAAAAGTGAACGAAACGTATTCAACTGTAATTCGAACTAGATAAGAATTTTATAAAATGTATGTATGTATGTAAATATGTATGAAAATCTTATCTGAAACAATCTGGACTATCTGTAGACCAATGGGAAAAATGGCTTTGGATAGAAGTAAGTGGCGGAAACTAATTCACGAAAGCATTGAGTCCTTTGAGAATAGCCGTATGCAGTACAATGTCTACAAACGTCTGATTCGTAAAGGCGAACAGGGTCCAGCACCGGGTCCACAAATTCACCACGTTAACTGTGACATATGCGGAAAATTGTGCCTATCTTTTGCCAGCTTCAAAAGCCATTTGCGTAAATGTGCAAAACCTAGTGTGCACACGAATAATGTCACTACAAACAAAACTGATCGGGTATGCCAATTCTGTGGCAAAATTTGTCGCAGTTTGGCTGGCCTGAAGACTCACCTGCGAATACATAGAATTTGAGGGGAGTGGGAGGGGGTGAGGACATGAAATAAAGGAGGGGGTCATGCTCGAAACCGAGAGGACAGCCACGATGTATGAATATATGTATGTAATTATGTATGTATGTATGTAAGTATGTATGTATATATTTATGTAAGTATGTATGTATGTATAAAAGTATGTAAATATGTATGTATGTAAGTATGTATGCATGTATGTATGTAAGTATGTATGTATGTAAGCATGTATGTATGTAAGTATGTATATATGTATGTATGTATATATGTATGTATGTAAGTATGTATGTAAGTATGTATGTATATATGTATGTATGTATTTATGTAAGTATGTATGTATGTATAAAAGTATGTAAATATATATGTATGTAAGTATGTATGCATGTATGTATGTAAGTATGTATGTATGTATGTATGTGTGTTTTTATGTATTTATGTATGTATTATATGCATGTAATTATGTATGTATGTATGTATATATGTAAGTATGTATGTATGCATGTATGTAAGTATGTATGTATGCATGTATGTAATTATGTATGTATGTAAGTATGTATGTAAGTATGTATGTAAATATGTATGTATGTATATGTATGTATGTATGTATATATATGTATTATGTATGTATGTATGTATGTATGTAAGTATGTATGTATGTATTATGCATGTAAGTATATATGCATGAATGTATATGCGTATGTATGTATTTATGTATGTATATATGTATATAAGTAAGTATGTAGGTATATTTCCGTGCATGGCCGAGTGGTTAGAACGTTCGCTTTCTAACCATGACCGGGTTCGAATCTCACCATGTTGATTTGTCAGGATTTATCGGGACGATCCCAGCTTTGGAAAGTGGCTAGTTGACTCAAGCCTTGTGAACACAAGTCATCGTGACCGTGGGTTTGAGTGTGCTGTTGTTGTTCAGATTGTTGATCATTCTTGATAATACGGTCTCTCTCCCAGAAACTGTAACTAATGTCTGCTCGGTATAGTTGCAGTATAAATCTCAGGTTTATCTATCTATCTATCTATCTATCTATCTATCTATCTATCTATCTATCTATCTATGTGTGTGTGTGTGTGTGTGAGTGCGCGCGCCCAGGAGCGTGCAGAAAAAGAAAGAAGGAAGATTTATTGGGCGCAGAATAAGAGAGTCCAGGTTTCACAGATAAATTCATGAACAAATATCGAAGGAACATATTCACGAATGTTTTTCAACATATACACCTAGCAACGAACCAAATGCTTTTGATTTCGTTGTTTAGAGAAGATGATTGAGTCATTTCTATATTTTCCTGATTTGTCGACAAAGAATATAAATGATAGGAGGTAATCCCTGCATTAAAAAGAAGAAAAAAAAATCTCTTGAGTAGAATTAAATTGTGCGTGAATTTGTCCACCCGAAAAAAAAATGTTTCTCTTTCACTTTTGCACTCAGGCATTATAAAATCAAAGCAGACCCCGAGGCCACGAACTCACCAGAAAATATCTTGTTAAACCAACGCCAAAAATAATAATAAAAAAAAATCTATATAAATATTATCATTTGTATGTGTACTGAAATAAAATAGGTTATACATTGAAATCTAAAAGAAAAAT